CCCAGTGCAAGCCAAAACTTGTTGAGGTCGGCTCATAAGAAACTCGTTAACCGAGGGGTTGCTCGTTAACTGAATTTAAGAATCTTATGGGAGGTAACTCGTTAACCGAAATCTCGTTAACTGAGGCGCTCGTTAACCGAGGGACCACTGTATTTCAATGTCACTCGTTTCGCGATTTTAACTTTTACGACACTAAAATCGGTACCAATTAGTCGCGAAACTTGAGATCCTACTGTAATGATAAAAATTCCTAAAACAAGTTAGATTATCATGTACAGTATTAACCCCTACACCCCGGGCTAGGGTGCCGCTGGCCGTATCCCCCATACGGGGTTAATCAAAGAAAAATCTACTTTTCCAAAAATAATTTTTAACCTTTTTAAATGATTAAACAACCAAAAGGAAGCAAGAAAAACTATATATTGACCCTCTAGAAACTTCCCTGGGGCCACAGTGGCGAGGGAGATAAGGGGACAGTGTTGTTCTGACGGCTAGCGCTCGTGGTCACTATGCACTTAGCGGCCATTTTTTGCTTGCCTTTTTGTCCGAAGTGGCCAGTAATGCATATACCGTATATACCCGTGTATAGCACGAGTTCTTAAGACCAAATTTTTTGGCAAAAAGTTGGGGGTCGACCTCTATACAGGTAATAGTTTCGTTAGGTTGAAAAATATTTACCAGTAACTACCAGTAAACAATGGAAACGACGCACCAACGCACCGCCCGCTGAGTGTCGGTACAGTTGCCAGGGCAGATCTCTTGCGTCATCATAGCAAGCCCAAAGTAGCCAAATGCATGGTATGGTATGCACAGGAGTATGTAAAACATAAAGTATTCTTTTTTAAAATTTTATTTATAGATACATAAATTTTTGTTAATTAAATTTGAAACATCAATCTTTGTTAATTAAATTTGAAACAAAAGAAAAATACGATACCTTATTTATAAATATTTTCATTAAAATATTACATCACAAGTATATTTTACCTTAACTGTGCCTGAATGAATATATTCTCAGAAATAAATATGGAAATGTAATATTTTTGCTGAAATGACGTACGTATTACAGTGGAAAGTGGGATAAAATTGTGACGAAAACAATGACTCACTTTCTTTCGTCGTTCAAAAGATTTTACCGTAATCGCTTTTCGAATGGTTTTCAGTTAAAAAACTGTTGTATTACAATAATATTCTATCCTAATTGACTTGAATAAATACTACGATACCATATTTCTGAATATTTTCATTAAAATCCATCAAAATCATTTTCCTTATCATCTGCAGCACCAAACAGCTCCTCCCAGTCCTCTCCTTGAACAGCATCGTCATATGGATCAACACCATCATCAGCCATAGGATCATCAATATCTTCATCCTCATTCACGCTCTCATTAGCCTCATAATCCCACAACAAGTCGTCTTCTGTTCCATCAAGAGCATTCGAAATCCCACATTTCTTAAAAGATTTCACCACAATTTCTGGTCTGATTGCATCCCAGGCCTCTACAATCCATTCACATAATGTTGCTAGTGATGGAGCTTGGATGTTGCCTCCCTTTGTGTATGTCTTATCGCCTTCTATCATCCAGTTGTTCCACTTCACTCTTACCGCATCTTTAAATGGTTTGTTTATGGAAACATCCAGTGGTTGGACAAGACTTGTTAATCCACCAGGAATCACAGCTGTATCAGTGTTTTCCTTCCTAATCCCAGCAGTAACACTGTCAACAAGATGTGACCGAAACATATCCCACACAAAAAGACTTTTTTCTTTGCGCAGTCCCCCTGGTCTAAAGTTCCAGACTTTTTTAAGCCATATTTGTATGCCGCCTTCATCCATCCATCCTTTCTCGTGCACATGGATGATTAAAAAAATGCTGTCTGACTTGCAACACTGTTGGTAGGGTCAGGTGGTTCTAACGGCACCTGCCAGGACCCGGTAATCAAATTTATAACAGTGTCTAACCTCAATTACTGTAGTTTATCTGATGTAGGCAATATGAAGTAAAAAATACCAGTTAAAGTGAGAAATTGGAAGAGAATAAACAAGAAAGATGTCGTTGGGCTATTTTTGGTAGGGCTGAGGGAGAGAGTACCAGCTGTTTGGTCTTTTTTGGCGGGAGAGTCACGCAAATAACCGTAGTACTGGTATTTGTTTGGTGTCTTCTGTATTTTTAAAAATGAATACTTGTAAATTAAAAGTACCGTAACATTGTATTATATACAAACTTGTCATATTTCTGGAAAATAAGAAGCAAGAAAATAAGAATATACCGGTAAACACAATTTCAACGTACGCTAAAATTAAAAGCTGCTTAAGAAGGGCCGATGCAAACACAAAGCCTCCGCGACCAGGGCTCTGCCGTATCAGCTAGACGGTACATGTGTTTTTCGAATCGTTTTCAGTTAAAAAACTGTTACATCCCAAGTGAATTAGGATAGAATATTATTGTAATACAACAGTTTTTAACTGAAAACCATTCGAAAAGCGATTACGGTAACATCTTTTCAACGAAAGAAAGCGAAAGTACTGTAATTGTTTTTGTCATGATTTTATCCCACTTTCCACTATAATACGTACGTCATTTCAGCAAAAATATTACATTTCCATATTCTCAGAAATAAATAGTAGTTTTGCCGAAACATGATGTATTTCAATGTAAATTAGGATAAACTACATGATGAAAACAAAAGACTTTACCAAACCTTCCGATGTTCAAGATATGTTACTCGTTTTTTTAATAGTTTTCAGTTAAAATACTGTTATATTAGTGATATTCTATTTATACTGTGGTTGATATAATACATTCACGGAAATGTAATATTTTTTGCTGAAATGACGTACGAACGTAATTGGTTCCAGAACCTCGTTCGTTATAGCATTCGTTCGTTATAGGATTAATCCGTTCCAGGCCCCCAAATACAACCACTTAACACTGAAAAAATTCTGTGGAAAATGTAAAAAATACGGTACTTTATCTTACCTTAGTGTTATTCAGCATGCAGGTACCCCTAAACACTGGCACATCACTATCACTTCCACTGGGAGTCTTGGCTTTAAGGTCCTCAAACAATTGTTTAGCCTTCTCACAAATTATAGCTTCACTAATGTTACCACCTGCCATTTCTTTCTCCTTTATCCACACTAAGAGTAAATTTTCCATCTCTTCAATCACATTACACTTTGCTTTGCTAAGTCTAAAGATTCCCTTAGCCACTTGCACAGTTTTTAACTCCTCTTTATTCTTCAAAATCGTACATATAGTCAATTTAGCCATCCCATATTCATCACTAAGTTTCGCAATGCTTCTTCCATTCTCACGTTTCTTTACAATTTCTTTCTTAGTTTCAAGAGCTATTAGCTTTCTCACTCGCTTTGGACGACTCATTGTTACAATTGTATACTTGTATAACAAAATAGTTATACAAATAACGCGAATTTCCACATCAAAAGACGAAATTTCAACAATAACAGTGGTGCACTGGCTACACAATGAGACAAAGATGGCGCCTGACGCTCTTGTTGTGGGTCGCGGTACAACAATATTCATGCGCCAGGCAAATAGTCCCGTATTCATCCGCGTTCGTTGTAGGAGTTGCGTTCGTTATAGCATTCTCAATTTTATAGGTAAAACCGTTCGTTATAGGAATATTCGTAGTAGGATCCGTTCGTTATAGCATACCCCACTGTACAGTGGAAAGTGGGATAAAATTGTGACGAAAACAATGACTTTTGCTTTCTTTCGTTCAAAATATGTTACCGTAATCGCTTTTCGAATGGTTTTCAGCTAAAAAACTATTGTATTACAATAATATTCCCTCCTAATTGACTTGAATAAATACTTGAATGGAAATATACAATATTTTTGTTGAAACTACCCGCGTTTCAGTGTAAAGTGTCGTAATAATAAATGGTAAACAAGTTTATAGGATGTAGTGTTTTTCTGAAGGTTTTGTTGTTCCTTTACCTTCAAAAACTTGGGTCGACCTATAAACGAGGAAAATCATAAATTAACGATTTCTTGGTCAAAAAATCGGGGTCGACCTATATACGAAGGGGGGTTATAGACGAGTATATACGGTATTTACTGATCATAATACTTATTCCCTATAAATAATTCTTTTAGAATATTTTTTTGCATTATTTTTCATAGAAAGTGCTCAGCGACACACACGCAGTCTGTCACCACGCTGTCTGGCTGTGTTTGGTAGAGCACGTAATGCATATAAATAATTATCGGAATAATAATTCCACAAGTAAATACATTTATAACATAATCCTAGCATTATTTTCCAGTAATACTACACTACAATATAACTATAGTACACTACTTTTAGCAATATTACTTTGATACAACATGAAAAAATGGACAAACAATGAAAATGAAACAAACAAAAGTAGGCACATACTTACATTTGGGAAGCTTCCCTGTGGTCAAGCGTATGGCGTGACATGCGCTGGGGATTCAAACAATGCCGCGTAAAGGCGCACGTTCCGGAATGTCAACCGGGGCACCCGAGATGGACGTTCCGGAACGTCAACCGGGGCGTAGGGCTTAAGACATGATCATACTATATATTGCAAACATTTCAAGGAAGCAGAAAACCAGGACTTTGCTTTGCACATACTGGGTAGAGAAGAGAAAACATTGTTACGAAATATAAACTAAGAAAAATGGTAACAATTTTTTTTTATTAAAACTCTTTCAAAAATGGTTTTAAGCATTGGTTTAAACCAATCCACCCTGGAAATGATGATGTAATCAAGCTTACCAACTTTATCGAGACCAAGAGGAGAGGTAGTGTTTACAAGTATTTTGCAATCCATCACACCAGGGCTAAAAGTTATTTATGGTCTAACTGTACATGGAGCTCATTGACAAAAATAATGCCACAATTAATGCTACAATATTTCATATCAAAGCTGAATAAGAGATTCATAAATATAGTTCTAGTTTATTAAATTATATCAGAATTTAAAATTGATTGTGTCATGGCAGGTCTGTGGGTGTCTTGACATATGTATTGCTCACCGGACACTCACCTTTTGGTGGTGACACCAAGCAAGAGACTTTCCTCAATATATCTCAAGGCCAGGTTGACTTCCCGAAGGACCTCTTCTGCGACGTCTCCGAGCAAGCAATAGACTTCATCACACGGCTTCTGCTTGTTAATCCCAGGTACTTTACAGTTATTTTAAATGTTTCTTGCTAAACTATACCTCTGATTATTTGGCACAGTCTTTATTTTGTTGAGAAATACTAGTACAGTAATTTGTAAAATAAGGGAAATTAAATACCTTAGGCATATAAAGAGATGAATGGGGAGACCAGAAAAAGGCAAAGATTGGGATCAATGTTCCCTCTAAGCTGTGTGTCTGCATGGCTATGCAGTAGTCAATCAAGTGCTGAATACTTAATTTTTCCTGCCACACGTATCATAAGCAATGGTGAATTAGTGTTGAAGTGAGAAAAGGTTGTCTTCAGAATTTTTTTGATCTGTTTTGTGTCAGTAGTCCTGTAGCTTGCTTGCACATGCTCTTTCACCCTCCAACATGCATCTCTCACATTTTCTGTGGTTTTCAATGGCTTCCTTAGAATCATTTGGTTCAAATTTGCACAGCAGGAGAATTTTTAAGAATACAGGTATATATATGGTGTTAAGTGGGGACAACTTGTACATAAAATACAGTATTTTTCGGCTTGGAAGACGCACCCTGATTTTGGAAATTAAATTCTAAAAAAAAAAAAAATTACGGGTTTTAGCCCACCTGGGCACAGGTCACTGACCCATATTGGGGCCTAGGGGGCGAAAATGTAATAATAATAATAATAATAATAATAATAATAATAATAATAATAATAATAATAATAATAAAGAAATACAAAAATTAAAAAAAAAATATCAAGAGTGAGAAACAATATACCTGTATGTATGTTGTGTTGTCAAAGTAAGAGAAACCATTGAGACCCTGCAGAAAGTCAGATCATCAACTTGGGACTTGGTCACATAGCAGCAGGGTCTACCATTAGACAATACATTATGCTTCCAATATCTTCCCAGACGGTAGTACCTCCCTGTTTGGTACATTAGCTGCCTAATACCCACACCAGTGTAACCGTTGCTTGATATACAGCCCTTTTGGCACAAGTACACACACCTCTTTGAATATCATGACTTAGAACTGCTTATCAGTCATCAATTTAAAAAAAAAATCTGTATAAGGTGAAATCTTTAATACAGCACTCATTTTATACACCTGGTCACCTCCACATCTTAGGGGCTGTAGTGTTTACATTCTTTCTCTTGTTTTTGTCGGTATGACAACGACGGGAAATATTTTCGAACAGTAGAAGGTAAGCAAATGTAAACATGTATATCAACGTCTATATAAAACAAAAAATCTTTATTTAAAGACAAAATTAAAGTAAAAAAACAACTCGTTTTTTGCAAAACCAGTGACTGATTGGTTCTACATAATTATAAAACTGAAGAAAATAAGTCCTACATTGTAGCTGTATTAAAATTAATGTAGAAAAATTAATATGGTTGTTTTAAGTAATGTTATTTATTGTTAATAAATGGAACAATGGAAGTAGCTAACAATTAAGGGTAAAAAAAAGTGAGATCGTGTACTGTATGTAAGTGAGCACATGTGTAAACATATCATCATTACTCTACATAAGAATATGAAAGCAACACTTATTTACTGTTCATATATGTTTTAATTAATGTTTCTGAATTTCTTTTTGATTGAATTATTGTTTATGTGTGCAAATTGAACAATACAATTCATTAATAATACGAAGAATATTAAAACACATGAGGAGACAAGACGTCATTGCTTTTCTTGTTTACAAAACCAGTGACTGACTGGTTCTACATATAAAACTGAAGAAAATAAGACCTTGGTTGTAGCTGTAGTAAAATTTATATGGTTGTTTTAAGTAATGTTATTTAATGTTAATAAATGGAACAAAGGAAGTAGCTAACATTTAAGGGTAAAAAAAAGTCAGATCGTGTATGTAAGTGAGCACATGTGTAAACATATCATCATTACTCAACATAAGAATATGAAAGCAACACTTATTTACTGTTCATATATATTTGAATTAATGTTTCTGAATTAAAAAAAAATTCTACCCACCAGTTGTGGTAAAGTTGAAAACACAAGGACAGCCAATGTTGTTGTGTGTGTGTTTTTACTTGGATGATGAAGTTGTATTTGAATTTGGAAGATTTTAATTTTGTGGGGTTTTTACAGTCTAAATGGGTATCCAAATATGAGAGCCTACTGTAAATAGGTGTCCAAATATGAGAGCCTACATATAAAGAAACAAACATTCCTGCATTTGAGACCAGCAGACAACCTTCAGCAATTCCTCAATAGATGGCGCTGCCGCACCACTGCCATTAGTAAAGAAACCACACAGCAGCAAGGGTTTAATTTTTTTTTTTTTGCAATATATCAACAATATTAGTTAAATCAATAGTTTTATAGTACTGTATAGAGAATACTTGTAATTGTTAAGTACTGTAATGATGTAACAGTCTTTGTAAGGGGCTGATTTCGAAAACCTCTGCCACAACTCATTGACTAGTGTCCTGGAAGACGCATGGTAATTTTTTAGGTATATTTTTGTCATAAAAAGTGCGTCTTTTAAGCCGAAAAATACAGTACTTGAATATAACTCACCAGAAATGCATGGCAGCAAATATTCAGAGTAAGAAGATAGAGAGAATCCCTGTTAAACACATACAGTATAACCTTTTTCTTCTCTATTTTCAATTTCTTTCTGTTCTTTTTTTTTCGCCCCCCAGGCCCCGTTGTGGGTCGTTTGACCTGTGCCCGGGTGGGCTAATTCCCGTAAAAAAAAAAAGAAGAAGAAGAAGAAGGAAGATACAGTGCTTGTTGCCCCCTAACCCCAAGTTCACTAGTTTACACCAGGGCACTCTTGTTCACCAAGCTATAAATACAAACTGTTCCAAATTTTACTGTAATTGAGTGCAGTGTAGGCCATGCTGCCTCCTTGTGTATTCAAAGTTGTAAAAAGTACCAGACTTTGTTACTTAAGTAAAAGTATTGTTACATTGGCAAAATGTTACTCAAGTAGAAGTAAAATTATCCAAAGTTTAATGTACTCAAGTACAGTAGGAGTAAAAAAGTATCTCATTCATAGAGTACATAAGAACTGAAAGTAAAAAGTAACAATAAATTATTAATTGTCTCAAATATTAAAATAAATCTGCAGTAAATTATAAAAAGAAATTAGTTAACTAAAGATAAAAATAAAAGACACAACACTACACATGTTTATTTGCAAATCTTTCTATTGAGATTAATCAATAACTGATTCTCGAAATTATGGCTGTCCAATTAGGATCTTTTAGGCCTAAATATAAGCCCAGCATGACCTACCAAAAGAGAATACATTCAGCCGCTCTTATCCATACAATCCATCGCAGGGATAGTGAATGGACCGAAAATATAGCCATCCAACACTATGGTCACTTTCTTCCTTACCCACACAAGTGTTGACGATGTGGACTTATGGTCCGCAGACATAATGTTGTCTGCTCGCATTAGGTGAGGATACAGACCTATCTAGCTAGTATCTGAGTTGGGGGATGTCCTGCACTTCTCTCCCGTAAACTCTGTAACTGTCCCAACGCTAACACCCTTCAACACTATTACCTTGACTGTCCCACTATCAGGGACCTCCTACCACAGGACGAGTCACTAACCTACTTATTCATAATAATTTCGATTTCATTCTTGTACGCTACCCATGCTTTGGTGGGTGCTAACCTTTATTGTCCTTAAATCATGTCAATATTGTCTCCATATCACAAGTCATAGTGTGTCCTGTGAGACACGAGTACCAATGTATTAGTGTCTTGTGAATAAGCTTGTCGCCTCCGAGGTTTAATAAATTGATTAAATAATAAATAATAAGCCCAGCATGACTAAATAGATGCTCACAAGCATCAGATGCAGGTAGTGGGCTTTTAAGCTTGAGAGATAAGTCACATAATGTTGGGAAAGACCTCGGTAGCTCCATTCAATCCCCTGGGCATGCCAAGTAGCTATCAAGCTCTTTCAGTTGGAGTTTGTGGATGATTGTTGCCTCCATAGTGACTGAGTCTGACTAAGACTCACTGTGAAATGTCCCTCTAATTAGGGTGTGGCTGTGGTGACATCACCTTTGATTCTAATTGATGAGTGGCTGAATTTTTCACACTACGTAACATCAGGGGGGGGAGGCAGTTGTACTTAGTTATTTAAGCAGAATTTTAAATGCACTTACTCAGTCTCTTTGAAATTTATTTTAGGTACAGGTACAGTACAGTACAGTCGGCCCTTAACATACGCAGGGGTTACGTAACAGAGATACCCGTGGATGTTAAAAATCCGCGTATTTTGCTCCCCCCCCCCCAAAAAAAATCCTGGCCCCCCCCATGTCCTTATTTACCTTATATACCTGTGTGTAGTTCGAGTTTTTAAGACCAAATTATTTGGCAAAAAATTGGGGGTCGACCTCTAAACGGGTAATAGTTTCGTTTGGTTGAAAAATATTTACCAGTAACTACCAGTAAACAATGGAAATGATGCACCAACGCACCACCAGCTGTGAGTGTCGGTACAGTTGCCAGGGCAGATCTCTTGCGTCATCATAGCAAGACCAAAGTAGCCAAATCCATGGTATGGTAGCACAGGACAATGTAAAACATAAAGTATTCATTTATTAAAGTTTATTTATAGATACTGTACATAAATTTTTGTTCATTACATTTGAAACATCAATCTTTGTTAATTAAATTTGAAACAAAAGAAAACTACAATACACCTAGACCCCGACTTACGACGGGGTTAGGGACTAAATCAGGTCGTAAGTCCGACATAAAAAAAAAAAAAAAAAAAAAAAAAAAAAAAATCTACAATGAAATACAGTACAGTAAAAGTAATGAATAATGATGAATGGATACAGTACAGTGAAAGTAATAAATAATTAGGAAATGGATACAGTGTGACTGAGCACTTAACCTTTAATGTAGTCAGCTGAATGCACATGGGCCCCCATAATTTTCTAATTATACATGGAGACTACATTAACTGGAAACGTTTCGGTATAGAAAATGCGTGTGTCATTTAAAATTTTTTTTTTTTTATCTATATCTG